TGACAGCCACATCTTAAATCTTGTCAGTCAGCTCTTTTTTCTCTATTTGAATTGTGGCTTACACATCGCACGACTTTAAAAGCTAGAAAAACAGGTCTCGATTCACATCGAACCTTGTTTTGTCAAAGGACAGCACAAAAAAACAGTCAATACACAGGGAGAGAGAGAGTTTTTTACCCTCTGTCAAAAAACCCAAATAACCCAGAGACTCTGGGGGGATCATTACGTGGTACAGAGCGGAGTTCAGTCAATTCTTATGGAATGTGTTTTTCTTTCTTCTTTTTTTTCAGTATGGAATAAACCTGTTACTTGATTCAGTAAATTTTTTATATTTTTTTTAATCGGGTATCTAAGGGAATAGCAGTATAACCCTGTTCATGCACAAACAGTGGCATTTTACATTATTAATTTGGGTGTCTCCTCTTGCCAGAAAGCTCTTAATTGCATTTTGAGCGCGGTGTTTGACTTTTTTTAAATTGTAACCCATAAATAAGGCTGATTGCAAAAATGCACTTGGAATCTGTCCAAGCCCTACTCTGTCAGGCATTTTCTTTTACTGTAACGGACACAAAAACTCCCTTGCTTTTAACAGAGCGTTTCATAATTTCCAACACCGAAAATTATTTAAACTCCGACACTCAAAATGCAATTTAGAGCTTTCCGGCAAGAGGAGACACCCAAATTAAGAATCAGCGCTTTTACAGTATATATCGCCTTTAAAGGTGGCTTCTCAAAATGCTTTACAGGATAAAAACAACAAGAACAGCAACAACAACAATATTGTATTTCATTGCACTTTGAAAACCAAGTAATAACTTAACTATATGTGCAAACGTTTTATGATATGTCTGTGGAGTGTATTTTATTTGCCTTACGTCCTGATTATCTCGCTCGCCCCCCCCCCCCAATTCAATTCAATTCAAGGTGTTTTATTAGCATGACAGATGGGTACAATCAGTGTTGGGTATTTACTTTGCTTTGAGATTCCACTTTTAAAGGTGATATATAAAATTTAACTAAAATAAATTGATATCTTTGTCTTCTAAGT